GTATACTATAGGTCTGTTCTTTATAGCTGAACTGGCTGTACTAGTTCAGAGCTTATCTTTTTCCCTCCACATTGGAAGGAGAAAGATAAACTCTGAACTAGTGCAGCCAGTTCAGCTATAAAAAACAGACCTTATATTCAGTGTACACTTTCTGAACTAGTGCAACTAGTTCAGCTAAAAAGAATAAACCTATGCTCTACTCTACATCATTAGTGCTAGTGCATATACGCAATAAATCTTGTATAATATGGCGTTATAGAATATTTAACTTTGTATAATTTTTACATAATTATATAATTTTATAATTAAACACAACTGAAACATAACTTGCTGTTAATATTTAGAATAAAATTGTCTAAAAAAGGAAAAAGATTAGGTTAGGTTAGGTTTTCAATTTTATAAAATGCTCCATATTTTAATTTATTTAATTTGTAAGCATTTTGCATCTATTTATTGATGTTTTTCCAATATTCTTGTGAATAACATGAAAGATGAATAAAATAATTAACAATAATAACAATAAACAATGATCAAAATGATATTATCATTATTAATAAAGTAACACATTGATAAAATATATAGTATAAATATATAGTATAAATTTAAATATACTAGTCGATTAGAAAATGTCACATCCTACAAATTTGCACTTTGAAAGTGTAGATTTTTCGTTTTTTCAATTTATCTTGAAAATATCTTGCTATGTACGTGAATGGATTCAAATAAACTGCGTTTATATGTAAATAAAACAGCATCAACATATATCAGTGCATTTCTGATTTACTTTAGTTTTCTTATATACAATGTATGATCAATTATTTTTTTCTATGTATGCAAAGTGTTAAAATGGTTTTACACTTCTGGGTTAGAATTTTTGTTTTAATTGGATTCAGCTTTAGATTTATTGACCAACTTTTTAATCTTTAAAATTAACAATTTGTTTGAATAGAATTTTTAATAAATAATTATAATTATGCGTGAATGTTCGAGACGACGTGTACAATCAGAAAACAGTCTAACAGGAAGTGTAAAATATTAATGACATTATGTATACTTATATTGCATAATGATTATGACGATATATCACATTAACAACAGACATGATCAATTATTATGCACGTGAAAAGATTGTAATGAAATGATGAAGCTAATATATATACAGGTATGAAATATTGAAGCTCGCGGCGTGCTATTTTGCTCATACCCACAATCGCCCATGATCGTTATAAATAAACCATGTGATTTACAGCCGAAAATCACGTGGTAAGCGGAACTATCTCTCCGCGGGCGTAGAGTCGTAGAGCAAGTCAGTGTTCATTCAGTCAGTTATTGGTGATCTATGCAAGTTCTCGGAGCGACTTCGTGCCATCTGTTGTTACGGCAGCGACAGCAGCGTTTAGTATGAGCTTATTAAGCGGCAAACTTCTGTAGCAGTTTCGAAGTAACACGCGCGTAGCATCAAAAGCTCTTGTTGACCTCTCGCGTAGTCTGTGGTGACCTTCGTTCGAACCTGACCGTGGAGCTGTGTTCCTCCAGCTAGCAGCCAGTCCTGAGATATCCGTTCTTCGTTTCTGTCGAAAGATACTGTAAACGGTGAGTGAAAAAAAAAATGTGGCGCTTCGTCGATCACCCATAATTTTTTTTATCCGATTATCGAGAGACCGGTAATCGAAAGTCATACGACAGTGGAATGTTCGTCATTGACCTTTGAGCATACTCGCTGTAGAATCTTCGCAATCATAGTTTGCTTCATGTAATAATTTAATTTAAAAGATTAATGAACCCTCGAGTCAGTATCAAAATCGACCGCGAAAAAACGTGCTCTTGGAGTAATATACGTGAACATGTTTGATTTTGCGATATCCGGGATCTACAAATCGAATAAAGTTTATGGATCGATGATTTTCTGCGAGTGTAAACTGCGAGCATACTCGCAAAAATATAGAACGATTAGATTTGATTATGTCACGCGATAACAAATATGTTATTGACCCTTTGGCGATAAATATTCGTGTAGTAGCAAGACAATTTTTTGTACGATGACGAAATCAATCCGCTTGACGAAGATAACGTTTGCCGTCCTTCACTACTAATTAAAACATGAAATATAGTATTTAATGATTTCTGTTTTATGTTTTAATTATATTGCTTATATTTTAAAATATAATTATATATTTTATTTACTTTATTAATAAACTTTATAAATAAATATAGTGTTTCTTTAAAAAAGAAATATTTTAATGCGAAAATATTAAAATTATCTCATTTAGCTTTTAAATTTAATTTTCAGATTAATTTTTAAATAAATATGATTGTTTATAAGTGATATATTTTTGTTTATAAGTGATATATTTTATAAAAACAAAAATAATACAATTAATGAATGTAATGATATTCCTTCTTATTTCATAAAAATTCAATAGGAACCAGTTTTAGAAAATCTACCTGAACCAAATGAATATGTAGTTTGCAGAACAGTCAACAAAATGTCAAGGGAACGTGCTTCCAGAAGATTTTATCGAGTAGACAGTACCAATGATTTGTTTGAATTCATGGACCGTGGCTATACAGCCCAACATGAAAATCGATGGAACTTTGAAGTTGCTTGGGAAGCTGCCAACAAAGGTATGATATGTATATATACATCAATTTGATTAGGGAATATATAATTCCAATTTTTTATTTTTTTCCATTAATTTTAATTTCATTAAATTTAATTTTATTTTTGAATTATTAAATCATTAATAATTTAAGTAATTTAAATAAAATAATAATTTGTGTTGTAAAACAATTTCTTTATGTCTCACAATCCATGATTTTTCTTTTAGTTGGTGGCATTTATACTGTAATAAGATCCAAAGCCTATGTTTCAACTGAAGAAATGGGTGATCAATACTGCCTCATTGGTCCATATAAAGAACATTTGGCACGCACTGAAATTGAGGAAGCTGATTTTCCTCCTCATAACCCTTTACATCAAGCAGTACAAATTTTGCGTGATCAGGGATATAAAGTAAGTTATTTATATCAAAAAGTAAAGAAAATTTTTTATCTACCTTATGTTTCAATAATGTTGAATTGATCTACAAAGTTATTAACTGCATCATTTATTTATTTTATTGTATTATTGTTATTCAAATATAAGTTGATTAATACTATAAAAATTTATAATTTGCTAAATTAAATATATCGATATAAAATCTATTACAGTACTAAATTATACATAAATATATTAATATTACTGATGTACACTTGTCTCAAGTGCATAAATATTTAAAACATAAGTAGCAACTAAATATATTTAGTTTGACAACAAAATCGTGACTCAATGACTTCAAATTGACAACTTTTTTTCTCAATGTAAAATGCACAGATGTAACATCTTCCAAATTATTGCTTATCCAGAATCGAAACTAATTAAGGAATTGTATATATTCATGAATGATACATTTAATAGCATACCATTTGTAGCATACACCAAGAATAATGAGTTGATTATCTCCCATGGACAAATATAATTCAAGAGCTTGAACGTATCATGTTTCACAACAGTTTCCTCAAACGTTAACATTTACGTCATTTGATATTAATCCACAACCATCTAGAAATAAAAATTGTATTTTTAACATATTAGAAAAACAGACATCTTGTTACTGAAATGTTATAATTATAAAATTATATTATAAAATAAAGTTATATTATAAAATAAATGTTAAAATTACTATACTACACACTACAGGTGGTAACAGGCACATGGTTAGTGGATGGAAATCCTCAAATTATTCTGTTCGATATCGGTAGCGCCGCCTGGAAGCTCGATGAATATAAACAAGAATTATGGAACACTTGCAATCTTGGAATACCTCATCTCGATATCGAAGCTAATGATGCCGTAATACTCGGATATCTAGTCTGCCAATTTATTGATGAATTTAGGTAAATTGCTATTGATGCTATTACTTTTTTTACTGTGATGTGTATAATTTATGTATCAATCAATTTTGTTGTTACAATAAAATATTAGAAAAGCAGCCGAAAGTTACTCGAGTGTTCCTCCGAGAATAGTCGTACATTGTCATGAATGGCAAGCAGGTGTTGGATTAATTGCTTTAAGAACAAGACACATGGATGTGGCCACAGTATTTACCACCCACGCTACACTTCTCGGTAGATATCTTTGCGCAGGAAAGACTGATTTTTACAACAATCTAGATAAGGTACAATCGTTTGAGAAAAATATTTTAATTTGGAGATAACTATTTAATGTAATTGGAAATGATATCATTTTATCTAAATTTAATTTTAAAACTAAGGTGTGTTTTATATAGATATTGCTTATTTATATATTACATTAATTAAAGATTAATTTAAAATTAAATTTAAAATTAAATTAAACTAAATTTAACATTACATAAATTTCAAAGAAGTATGTAATGAAAATAATTATATACATATATAGATAGAAGAAGATTGAAGAATAGATTTGTTTAATATATATATTCAATTCACTTAATAATATACAGTTGTTCGTTTCTTACAGTTTAGTGTGGATGAGGAAGCAGGGAAACGTCAAATATATCATAGATATTGTATGGAACGTGCGGCTACACATCTTGCGCACGTATTTACGACAGTTTCGGATATCACTGGTTTCGAAGCCGAACACTTGCTCAAACGCAAACCCGATATTATTACGCCAAACGGATTGAATGTGAAGAAGTTTGCGGCGTTGCACGAATTTCAGAATTTACACGCAATTAGTAAAGAAAAAATACATGAGTTTGTGCGAGGCCATTTTTATGGGTTTGTATCAACGTCATAATATCACATCTCTGCAAATATTATATTATCCATATGATATTACCTACAATGTACGTATGTCTGCAGACATTACGACTTTGATTTAGACAAAACACTATATTTTTTCATCGCTGGTCGATACGAATATGGGAACAAAGGTGCCGATATCTTTATCGAAGCTCTAGCTAGGTTGAATCATTATCTAAAATCATCTAGACCCGATTTAACGGTGGTTGCTTTCCTCATCTTTCCTGCGAGAACCAACAACTTTAACGTCGAATCTCTTCGTGGTCATGCTGTGAGTTACTACTAATATGGATATCTTTTTACGATACTGATTGATAATATTCATTAATTTCATCTCAAATCATTACCAGGTAACAAAATCTTTACGAGACACCATCAATGATATACAACAGAAGATAGGAAAACGAATGTACGAATTATGCCTCTCTGGTCGTATGCCTGAAGCTCAAGACTTGTTGCAGAAAGATGATACTATTAAAATAAAACGGTTTGTTAATAATCGAAATAACATTTTATAACTAGTTTTAATCACTAAATTGCTAATGACGCATATATGCATCATTTTCAAATTAATCGCCAGTGTTGATAACATATGAGCGTCATTCTAAAAGAAAGTATTCTTTATCTGTAATATTTTCATAAAATATAATATCTATTTTTTGGAGTCACTGAATTCGAATATTACAATTTTTGAATTCAATATATAATAGATTTAAAGTAGCAGATGCAAAAGTAATTCTATCAAATTTAATTTTTACAGACATTTACAGGTCTTTAAATCCAAATCTAACATTAAAATTTTTAAATTTAGAAGAATATTGTTGTTAGCAAATACACAAAAATAAAATTAATTGTATTTTAAATCATTAATGTATATATCACACATTTAAATTAACGTAAATGTTAACAATTATTTTTTAATTTAATTATATTTTACTTTTCATTCTTCAATTACAAAATTTATCAATTTAATTTTTAAATTAAAGATTCCTAAAAATACTTGGAAGATTTCGTATAAAATGTGTTGTTCGAATTTATAATTGTCACATTAGGTCTGATTTAGAATACCAATATTTAATTGCAAATTTGAAAATTTAGCTTTACATAAATTTTATTTTTCTCCCCCTTTTTAGAAATCTTTTTTAGGGAGAGGAGAGAACATTTTTATTGGAGGGAATACATTTGTATGAGTCAAGGAGTTAATTTACGAATCCACTTTTTTATTCTTCTGTCTTGCAGATGTTTATATGCTCTCCAAAGGAATGGATTACCGCCCATTACGACACACAACGTTGTTGATGATTGGAATGATCCAGTGTTAAATAATGTTAGAAGATGTAATCTCTTTAACACTGTTCATGATCGCGTTAAGGTAACGACATATTCTATGCATTTTATTCAGTCAGCCTTCAGGCAAGAATTAACAATTAATCTTTTAAGTATTAACGATGCACAAATGCATCATTAAAAAACTGACCGCTAGTGATTTATGTGCGCATTTATGTGTGTCATTTTAAAGAAGTAGGTATTTTGTAACTATAGAATTTTCATAAAATATAGTATTTATAAGTAGAAGTCGCTGAATTCAAATCTCAACAAAATTTTTAAATTTAATATGGCAAACGCAAATTCGCAAACGCAATTATTCTATTCTTATCAGACTTGATTTATATAGATAATGGAATTTTATGATTTTCTAATTCCAAATCTGACATCAAAAGTTTATACTTCGGAAGAATTCTATTCTTATAAAACACATAACACAAAAAAATTTGTTGTATTGTAAAGTTGTTATTTACTCATTACCTACATTTAAGTGTCAACAATTATTTTTTATTTTAATCATATTTTATCTTAAATTGTTTAACTTTTTATTCTCGAATTATAATGTTTAACTCTTAATTTTCAAAAATTAAAGATTCGTAAATCTTGCTAAAAAAGTTTATATAAAATTTATTGTATCAAAATTTTAATTTTTTATTGCGTTCATAATTTAGAATATCAAAATCTTAATTGCAGGTTTGCATTCAACATCTCAACAATGTCAAATTCTTATAAATTTAATGGACTTTTACAAATACAAATCATTAATAGTAAATAATTTTTATTTCTTAACACTTCAAGAATTATATATGGATTAAATATGTAATTGATGTTATTTGCTTATATTTTAGATTGAGATAATATATTTTATTTACAGATAGTGTTTCATCCGGAGTTTCTTTCTTCAACAAATCCGCTTTTCGGTCTCGATTATGAGGAATTTGTCAGGGGATGTCACTTAGGCGTCTTTCCTTCGTACTACGAACCTTGGGGATATACACCGGCTGAATGCACGGTTATGGGTATTCCCAGCATCACCACAAACTTGTCAGGATTTGGTTGCTTTATGCAAGAGCATATAGCCGATCCGATGAGCTACGGTATTTACATCGTCGACAGACGTTACATCGATTTGGAATCGAGTGTTCAACAGCTTGCTCAATATATGTTCGAATTTGCGCGACTTAGCCGTCGTCAACGTATTATTCAGAGAAACCGAACGGAACGTCTCAGCGATCTCCTTGATTGGCGAAATCTTGGCATTGTAAGACGAACATAGATTTCACTACATTCCTTTTTATTTATTTGTTCTTAAAGTATTTTTTGTACACGTGTTTACTGTATATTTATCTTGTTACATTATTCTTTATACACATGCATATCTGTCACAGTATTATCGTCAAGCGAGAATAAAGGCATTGACGACTGTGTATCCTGAATTGGCGTCGGAATATGCAGAAGGTGGAGTCGGTCGATTCCATTATCCCAGACCAATCAGTGAACCGCCATCTCCGACGTCTTCACGGCATACAACACCGGCTGCTTCTGTACACGGTTCGGACGATGAAAACGATGAAGTTGATGATGAAAAGGAAGTAAGTAGTCTAAAACAAGGATATAATACATCATAAAATCGGAGTATAAAACTCGATTTCTTGATAATAGCATTTTTCAAGGATGTTCGTAGTGCATGATTTATACCTCTTTATTTACATTATATTACATTACATTTGTTATTACTTGAATTATTGATTATATTCGGTGATATTTTTTTATTATTTATTTTTGTACAATTTAATTAACATAACTCGTTCTTACAGCTGGAAGAACTGCGACAAACCAACGGAAGATAAATAAGCAGAAATAAAAAACAATCAGAGCGAGAATTACGTGCAATAAAATAATGTTGTGAAATGTACGTAACAGCAGTGCCAAAATGTTAGTTACCACAAATATGTATCTACATAATTTTAATTTGAACGCTTTAATTATAGCTTGTTATTGAAATCTGTCACTGCCGTGCAAAAGAGAAGTTAAAATAGAAGTTAAAACTTAATTAACATCGAAGCAATATCTACGACGATCACAATTATTGTCATCATCGCGAGCGATATTATTTATATTTCATTAGAATTTTACTTGTTAATGGCAATTATTAACTTATTCCATTCGGCCAATCTAAATTTCTGATTATATATAAGTATATTCAAATGATTAACAATCGTTTTCGATACTAACATTACTATCACATATATTAGTATGTGTGTGTCTAAACTATTGATATCATTTTAATATATTAATATGATAATATTTTAATATACTAAGCGAATTAAAAGTTTGAATGTACAAGAGGAAAATGCCACACACACACATATATATCTATGCACTACATTATACTGAATAATTGCACTATGAACGGGATACGTTCTTGTTGTATAGAGATAATTATATTTTTATCAGAATTGGCACTAAATAAAGAGATTTCTATCATTTTGTGTTACTGAATCCTTGTGATATTACTAGCCCGCTCCTCCTTCAATCTCTTTAATTATTAATAAATAAGTGTTGTATTAATATTGCAATGTCATAAAAGTTGAGGCGCAATACAAATAAAAGACAATCCAACATAATAATCGGGAATTTTACTTTGTATCGATTATTAACACAATATACAAACTGAAATGACTAAGTTACATCATTGACGACATAATTATAGCATTTGGCTGTGCATATATATACAGGGTGTCTGGCAATAATCGTCCCACCGGTCATATACAGGTAGAGGAGGTCAAACCGAGTAAAAAAGTCCTTTTACCTATTTTTTTCCTAATTTTTCATAATAAGTACTGAGTAATTACGAAAAAAGATCGGCGAATCCGCGCGAGTAAAGACGCGCGCGGTGGAGAAGGACGTCCCCACTGCTACGCGATCACTAGGACACAAGGATCTAGCGTTACGCGCCGCTCGTATGTTGCCATTGTCATTTGTAGAGCGCTCCTCCCCAACGCTTCATCGCGCGCCTAGTGATCGCATAGCAGTGGG